AATGAATCGTGATTAATCCCACCTAACATTAAAGTTTTTAAATATACTTTTATATTGCAATAATTTCACATTCAATCTTCAAATTAATGTACAAACAACATAAAGGCAGTATATTTTTTAATATTTGTTTAATGGCATCTTTTTTTTATGACTGAAGGGCAGTATCAATGATATCAATACTGATTTCTCTATAAAATCGCCTCCCCCCCTAATATTTAACCATTGACTATAGCCATTCAACATTACAGTATAATTGAGAGCTATCGATTTTAAAATTTATTAGACTTTAAAAAATAACAAGTACCGCCACTCCCTATAAGCAGAGTACGCAGCATGCGCAGGGCACCAACTCCCAGGGGGGCACAATCCCAGTTACTCAAATAAAAAACTTTCATTCTATATTAATATTAAAATGTACATAAATACAAATATAAACATGACCATTATATATATATATATATATATATATATATATATATATATATATATATATATATATATATATATATAAGTGCTATTAATCGATTAATAACAATTAACTAATTAATCGCACACTTTTCTGAAATTAATCGCGATTAATCGTGATTACTCCCACCTAACATTAAAGTTTTTAAATATACTTTTATATTGCAATAATTTCACATTCAATCTTCAAATTAATGTACAAACAACATAAACGCAGTATATTTTTTAATATTTGTTTAATGGCATCTTTTTTTTATGACTGAAGGGCAGTATCAATGATATCAATACTGATTTCTCTATAAAATCGCCTCCCCCCCTAATATTTAACCATTGACTATAGCCATTCAACATTACAGTATAATTGAGAGCTATCGATTTTAAAATTTATTAGACTTTAAAAAATAACTTCTAATTTAAGTGAACTTAAAACAATCTTCACATAAACCCATTACAAAAAATGCCATATTTACCTGTGCCCTTCAGTAGAAATATACAGAAATTGAAATTGAAGTTATCAAACACTAAATTCTAAGTTAAATATAGATGAATCCTTAAAGCTATAAAAGTTTTTTTTTCTTTGTCCTTTGATTAATAGACATCACAGCAGCTGGTTATTAGGTTGTTTTGGCTGCCGCTGCTGAACGTGACACGGATCTGACACGCATCATATTTTCTCTCAACTCTTTTGACCTTTTCTGACCCACTTCAGGTCTGAAAGTCTCTATTAATGATCTGACGAGTTAAATCGGGTGTGTTAGATGAGTGAGACAGTGCTGGGCTGCTCCAGGACAGTTTTGAAAACCATTTCAGAGACATGTTCTTAAATGTGACTCATATAAAATATATTACATGCATGCACAGTTTTAAGGCTTTAATCGCCTTTTTGGTAACTTCATGACTTAACTGACCACGACATTGCATGCACGTAGTTTATTTCGCGCTTTGATAAGAAAGGATACTGGCAACAGCACGTGCCGGCACCTTTGTGCGTGCAACTGAAGAGCATGCGCTGCGAACACAGTACCGTTTCCGCACTCACTTGACTTGTGCCTGGCACTGAAGTGAAGAGGAGCGCGCGTCTGAAACGTCTCCCGTTCTCTGTCGTTCTGCGACTGAATAAATGCACTTCTTGTCAAGAGAAAAAGTGACAGAGGCACCAGTTGTGTGGGGTGGCCAACCCTAGCCCCGACCCTGCGTTAATTACGTTAAATATTTTTAACGCGTTAAACTGAACAAATAATCGCCTGCGTTAACGTGCTAATTTTGACACCACTAATATATATATGTTAATATTAAATATTATATATATTTATATCAACACTGCGCCACCGGCAGTAGTTGGTCCATTACCACCGCGGTGGTAAAAATCTGCCACCGTCACAGCCCTAGTGACGGTGCCGTGCCAAATTCTGCACCCTGTCAGATTATGCATCCCCTAGTATTGGTAGGTTTAGGAGTAGGTGTAGGGGAGGGGTTAGGCAATCAGGTAGCGATTCCAATGAGGGGATGCATAATCTTGAAGGGGTGCAGAATTCGGCACAACACCGGCAGAACAACAACAATGCGCTACAGTACATGTTTCTTTTCAACTCATTTTTTCCAATTGATGGAAATCTGTTGTAGCGACGGAAAACTTTAACCCCTGTTGATGTATGAGCCCAAAATTAAAAACCCCTAGTCTGTAACAAAAAGTGGTGTGAAAAAGTGTTGGCCCCCTTCCTGATTTCTTTTTTTTTTTTTGGTGAACCTTCCCAGGAGTGTCCGGCCAACCAAAATTACTCCAAGAGCACAACACCGACTCATCCAAGAGGTCATAAAAGAACCCAGAACAACATCTAAAGAACTGCAGGCCTCATTTGCCTCAGTTAAGGTCAGTGTTCATGATTCAACAATAAGAAAGAGACTGGGCAAAAACGGCATCCATGGGAGAGTTCCAAGGCAAAAGCCACTGCTGACCAAAAAGAACACAAAGGCTCGTCTCTCATTTGCCAAAAAATATCTTGATTATCTTGACTTTTGGGCAAATATTCAGTGGACTGATGAGACAAAAGCTTAACTTTTTGGAAAGTGTGTGTCCCGTTACATCTGGCGTAAAACCAACACAGCATTTCATAAAAAGAACATCATACCAACAGTCAAACATGGTGGTGGTAGTGTGATGATCTGGGGCTGCTTTGCAGCTTCAGGACCTGGACAACTTGCCATAATTGACGGAACCATGAATTCTGCACTCTATCAGAAAATCCTGAAGGAGAATGTCCGGCCATCAGTTTGTGACCTCAAGCTCAAGCGCACTTGGGTTATGTAGCAGGACAATGATCCCAAACACACCAGCAAGTCCACCTCTGAATGGCTCAAGAAAAACTAAATTAAGGTTTTGGAGTGGCCAAGTCAAAGTCCAAACTTAAATCCGATTGAGATGCTTAAACAGTCCATTCATGCTCAAAAACCCTCCAATGTGGCTGAATTAAAACAATTCTGCAAAGAAGAGTGGGCCAAATTTCCTCCACAGCGATGTGAAAGACTCATTGCCAGTTATCACAAACACTTGATTGCAGTTGTTGCTCCAAAGCGTGGCACAATCAGTTATTAGATTTAGGGGGCAATTACTTTTTCACGTAGGGCCAGGCAGGTTTGGACAGCTTTTTTCCCTTAATAAAATAAATAATCATTTAAAAACTGCATTTTGTATTTACTTGCATTATCTTTGTGTAATATTAAAATTTGTTTGATGATCTGAATCTTTTAAGTGTGACAAATATGTTTTTTTAAAAAAAACAGGACGGGGGCCAACACTTTTTCACACCACTGTATGTGAGATAAAATAGTTTGCTTTGTAGATAAAATGTTAGAAAACATGCTGTTTAGACTGCATATGGTTATACTAGGATAATAATGATTTATTATGATTCACATGAAAACTGTAATAATTAGCCTAATCTAAATAAACAAATAAATAAATCTTCTGATGTAAGCAGTTTAACATGATGAATAGATTCTGGCCACAGGGTGGCAGCAAAAGACAGAACATCTGAACAAAAGTTTCATTTTCTGATACAAATCATCAATTGATTGATGTATTATAATTATGTGTGGGTATACATACTGGTGTAAAAATCTACATATTGAAAAACACTATAGGTGTTAAATAATGTTCTTTGTTTTCCCTTCCTGTCACTGTGCAGCCCATACAAAATAAAATGCCAGATACAGTTTTTCTAACCAAAATACTAGTAATAACCAGGGGGGAAATATATGCATGATAAAGGACTTTTAATTATAAACAAGCCTGAAATACACCAGGACTCTTATTCTGAAAATGTCTATGCTTTACTATTTCCAGCTGCTCATTCAAACAAATGAGGGAGATAAAATGATATGCACTTTGAGAACAGTCTACAACATATACTATAAACACCATACAGTAAACACTCATCATTTATCAATAGTTGATCATAAATAATCTACTGGCAAAAAGGCATGGTTTTCATTTATTGTGAACTTCTTTGAAACCGTGAGCCTGTAGAACACACAACAGCATTGCATTTTGATTTTCAATGTGCAGTGCTCATATTTATTTGATTAAATCATAGGCTTTTGAAGTTTAATAATAACATTAGGCTGTACTGTGATTTCTGCTTTTCCACCCACAAACTTGAGATTAACCTCTTAAAATTATAATTAAAACATTTGTTATACCATATTTAGGATATATACATCTTTAGATGATTTTTTTCGAATTTCAATTAAATTTAAACAAATGATATATACTTGTATACATATCATATCGTCAATTACGTATCTTAAAACGTACTGCATTATGAGACAGGGACAATAAAAATACCAATACCGAGCTCTGGACAAGTGTCCAAATATTTTTAGGATCACTATATCTCTAACCAAGTAGAATATGCCTAAAATCACGCGAACATGAGGTGAAATAATGTAAGCAACAGAAGCACTCAGCACCTGATGGAAGACCTCATTGACGAAATTGACGTTGTCTCGTGTGGAGAGCAGGATGGACTGCACCATGTCGTAGACGGTGCGATGCTCCTCCTCGATGCTACACAGACTGGAGTTGCTGCCCCGGCGGTCTGATAGCGTGCTGCTGTTGGAGTGATTCTTCTCCTGTTCCACAGGACCGTTGGGCTCAGAGTCTGCGCTCTTCTCCTGACTGATCCCGCCCGCAGTCACAGTCTGAACACAAACACAGGGAGAAGAAAGCGCTTGCATGCATTAACTACATATATACAGTTTATAGTACTAAGATTTAATAATAATTTCTAAGACTTCACACATTTTAAAATAAAATAAAATACAATGTATAAGAAAATAATAAAACAAAGATTGTGGAAAAGTGTCTACACTCCTTGGGAAAACACAAACTTAAATGAAAATAAAGAAAAAGTACATACATACATAAACAAACAATTTTGCACAGAGTTTCTGAGGCTATTGCTGTAATGCAATATGTTAAATAATAAGAAGAGAAAGCCGCTCAAATATGAGATGGCAGAGAACCTGCCACTTTTCCTTCAGAAAAATATATTTTGTCAACCGTTTTGTATTCATATGCACCTTACTGATATAGAGGACAATATGTGCTTCTATTAGCTAAAAGCCATTATTAGATGCACAGTATTATAAGAACGTTTTCTGCACACTGTATAATTTAAGTGTATGGCAAAAAGCAACTTTTTTTGTGAAAAAGTGTGTATTTGAAGTTGATATTGCATTAAACAACACATGCTTTACAATGTTTTTGCATTTGCGTTTTTTTTTCAAAATGACTATTTTTTAACTAAAATAAATAAACAAATAAACAGCATGAGGGTGCATACATGACGACAGAAATTTCAATTTTGGTTTTATTGTTCCTATAATGAATTTGCCAAATGGGTTTCAATTAAGAAAAATTCTATTTTATTTTAGTGAGTATGCTGTGTCAGAAGATATCTGTCCATGTAGCTACTGTAGTTGACAGTGAGACAGCGGTTCTCTGTCATCAAGCTTCCTCCCACCTGGATGATCTTAGGAAGGACCTCTCCTCCGTTCTTAGAGCTGCTCGTGGCCGAGTTCACATACTTCTTCTCCAGGAAGAAGTTAACGAGCCACGTGATGAAGGCCACGCGGGGAGCCAGGTACTGATCCCTAGTGCAGTACGTGCTCTCACTGTTACGCGTCACAGGGACGTAGAGGGGCTTTGGTCTGTGAATGGGAAGATCTGTGTGAGAGAGAGAGAGGAAAGGAAATACAAATTAAAACAAGAAATACGTTTTGAGCCATTGCTTTGACACAGCACCTGTCAATCAATATAAAACTAAAACTGCGATATGGCTAAGTGTGCTTATCAAGCTGCAAAAGGCTTTTTTGCTTTTTCACCCTGCGTGTGTTTCCGAGTGAAGCGCAGCACTGTGTTCATTTACAGGTGAATACTGCTCGATCCAGTGTTTTCAGCATCTCAGAGTGGCCATGGTTCACAGACCTATGCGTCCCGTCAGTTTAACAAGCATTTTGTAACACACTGTTTGGCAGTTATGCTTTATATTCACATTCCCATCATTTCCAGCATTGCTGTGGACAGCTCATTTAACTAATTCTGTAAAGAGAAATGTATTGTTCTGTTATCACAGAAACTTAGCCTCCCTGCAGTTTCATACCAAAATAAGAGCTCCACAGGTTTAACTCTTTTAAGTAAAGAAATTCATCGTTAAGCCAAATACTGTGTAAAATGTGAGCTGCTAAAATAAGGTTTCGCGTGAAACATTTCTTCACCTAATTGTGGCTTGTAGAGGTTGGTTTGTTTTGTGAAAGTGGGGAAGAGTTGAGGCAGGTAGTACTTCTTGAACAGGGAAAAGAGAAATCTGAAGCCTGTGTCTTGGCTCTCTTTGTTTTTCCAGTCCAAGCTGGATGCCTGTGGGGTTACAAAAAATATATATATATATCTGACTCAGATTACATCATGGCAATTCAGTTATAAGCAACATGCAGACTTCAAACAGAAACAAAGCAGGCCACAAGCATTATCAGCCAAACACTAACATGAGCAGCTCTGTCTCACCTGGAGAACCATGACCTTGAGCACAATCTGGAGGACAGAGCAGGTGTGGTCTTCTGCCACCTTCTCTCCAGGAACCGCAGGCACCAGTGGGCTGATCTCCTCTGGCACAATCTTGGCTACAAAACCACAAACACCGAGTCTGAATATATTCATAAACATCTGAAAGGTGAGGTGTGTAATTCATGATCCAGAAAGCACCAAATGGATTTGTAAAAAAAAAAAAAAAGATAAAGATGAACTAGAAGAAACTTTGAGTGGGTCTTGTCATCACAATGCTAGGGTTTTCTGGATGGCTCCTATTCTGCTCTATAGATCAGAGGTTCTCAACCTTTTTGACTCCAAAGGGCCAAACTGTTGAAGACTATATTCAAAAGCTCCCCAAAAATATAACTAGTACTTTTGCTGTAATAATAAAGTTTCTTATTTTCACCCATTTGTAAGTACATTTTATGTTTAAATGTATTTATTTTAATTTTGAATTTATTTATTTTATGTATGTATGTATATTGGTTCTTCAGAGTTCACTTTTTTATTTTCTGAGCAATGAATTGACATGATTTTTTTCTAGTCTTTTGGGATGTTTCCCCCTTTTCCAAAAATAAACAAATAATTGGATCTCGCACACTTTTCAATCCACCGGTAACATGATTCCAAGTTAAACAGAAATTCTTCCAAAGAGGACAATGAGGAAGAGGTCCTGTGTGACTGAAATGTTTGTTGTGGGTTTTAAATGCATGGAGCACTTTATTTTTTGCACATGAATAATAATAGAAGATTGCTGGTATATCTGCATGTAATCCTTTTTTGGATATGCAGCAAACTAATTTCAAATATTGAGTTTCTTTCTCTCTTTGGAAGTTTTTTTTTCTTTTCTACAAATATATTTGTTGCTCACAAATAATTTCTACCCAGCTTGACATAACTACGAGAAATCATACTTATTTATATTTAAATAATATAAGAAATTAGATCTCATTATAGAAGTTTTCCAGATCTAGAAATTACACTTAAAATTCACTTATATCCACATTTTCCAAAAGCGAGAAAATTCTAGTTCTTAAATAAAATGGTAGTTGTTGAGGAAAAAATTGACATTTTGATTTTATTTGTTTGTTGGTTTTATCTTATTTTTAATTAGTTTAAGCCATCTCAAGGCACTTCTGTAAGTTTGATGAGGCCTCCGATTGGGTCTCCTGCTTGAGAACCACTGCAGATATTTTGGTGTATGTCTACAGGACATCATCATGAGCACAATCACACGCTACCACACAGCAAGCTGCACAACATAACAATAATGGTATACATGTTCAAATTTTATTCTTAAGTATGAGCAACAGAAATCGTGACGCCTCAGCAAACATTACTATTGATGCTCCTACAACAGACAGTCCCTGCGCAAAAAAACACACATGACTGGTTGAGCCAGATGTTCAGAGCATTCAAACAAACAGCAGCACAGTCTGTTACAGTGTGCATTATTATGTTTAAGAGTATAAATGTACAAATTGCTTTACTTTAATGTCATCTATGCACAGTAAACTGGGATAATATTTGAAGTTTATTTGAATAATTATTCAAAAACTTGAACAACTCACTTTTTGCAAGATCTGCATGCGGCTTATTTTTATCACATAGACTGTGTCAGCTCAAAGCGTCGTGCCACATTGTTCCTGCCACTACTGTCTTTGTCATTGCAGAAGGCTGAACAGCCTTCAGTGTGAATAGCCTATGTGTTGCACTAATGAAATCTATTCAGACATAAAGCACGTCAGCACAGACAGAAAGGAATATTCACTGATTTCAAATGCATATGAACACATCCACAGTGCTTGAAAGGAATGGGTCATTACCGGTTCAAGGGCATCAATAAAATCTATTCCGAGAGGAAGCATCAAGGGAAATCATTCCTTTCAGCATTTAACAGACTCTGACCTCCTTTTCTGAGGATGCTGTGCCACCATTTGATTATTACACTCTAATACTAGATTTAAAGTGCCTTTGTGCCACAGGAGCATTAATGGCCATCATTAAAAATGACATTCCCAGACAGAAACACAGTAGATGTGTTGTAAATGGTGAGGGATAAAATGAATGAAGGGTAAAACTGTGAACACGGAAGAATAAGAAGGTAATTTTGTTACTTCAGGTAAGATTAGGGATGCACAATATTATCAGACTGATATCGGAATCGGCCGATAATGGCTTTAAAAAGTAAATATCGGCATCGGCCCGATATGAAAACTGCTGATATGTCTTGCCGATAAGAGGAATGCGTTAACTCACATGTGCTCAGGGTGTGCTAGTGATTAGATCAAGTCAGGAGTATGGCTAATTCTTGAAGCAAAGTTTTGTCTGATTGATGATTAGATTGACTGTTTTGGATCGCTGCATTTAATCTGTGAAAGCACGTACAGAATGACGCGTTCAGTGTGTGATATTGTAAAAAGCACGTGCAGTGGCAGCAGCGGCAGCAGTGATAGCCTCCCCTAGGTCCTAACGCCCGTTCGGTAAAGAGTTTTAATCTGTAGGGGGCGCTGTTGGCCTACTTCTAATTAAATTAAAAGGAAAATAGCCTATACCAGTGGTTCCCAAACCTGTCCTGGAGGCCCCCCTGCCCTGCACCTTTTGTATGTCTCCCTTATCTAACACACCTGATTCCACTCATTAGCTCGTTAGTAGAGACTGCAAGAACTAAATTGGGTGTGTCTGATTAGGGAGACATACAAAATGTGCAGGGCAGGGTCCTCCAGGACAGGTTTGGGAACCACTGGCCTACACAAATAACCTTGAGACTGTGTTTCTGATTAAATAAAGCAGTACTTAATAAGCTATAGCTTACATGAAAAAAATGTACAAACATAACACTTTTATGTGTTTTTATATATACTGATTTATTCATTAATTTTTAAACAAATCATAAGCTCTAAAAGATTTTCAGAATTTTTACAACTCTTGCTTTAGACCATCTACAAATGTTAAATCTTAAAATAAAATGTTAGGGTAAACTGCATCTATCTGGGAACAAAATGCAGCGATTGATATATAGTTTATTTAATTCTAACAAATAAGTTATTGTTAAAAACTAACCAAAGTTAAAAATATTTTGCTTATAATTTCTGCACAGGAGAGACTTGGTGTTGTTTCCAAACAATAGGAAATATATCGGTATCGGCCAAAATGAGTTGAAAAATATCGGCATATCGGATCACTGCAAAAATCCAATATCGGGCATCCCTAGGTAAGATAGTACATGTACAGCATTTACACTGAGTTCAGCTGATTCATTTATGTATTTTTGTAGGCCAAACTTGGAAATTAGTCTGTATTTTAGCACTTCTTGGAAACGAGTCTATATTTTTTACCATCCGGTTTCATTTAGCTTTTGCTTTTGCTAACCTTTATTTCGGCTTCAAAATACATAAATGTCATGCTAATTTGTGAAGATTATCAGCATGAACAAAACATGTAAGAATCAGAAAGCTCTGGTCCCAGAGCTTATTTTCTGCAATAATCCAAAAGCTAATGGAAAATCCTATTAGTTTTTTTGTCAAACAAAATACAGTACATACTCACTGCAGCACCCTAAATCATACATAAAAAAGAAAAGAGCTTTTAAAAAATGGCAAGTTCTCAGTTGATTGGTTGGATTTTTTAATATATTTTCCTAATAATTATGTCTATACTTTTTTTCAATTAGACTTGACCGCCCTATTTTGACACGAGACTGTATTATTGTGATATTACTGATTTCAGATTTATCCATATCTAACCTCGGGTAAAACAAAATATGCAAAATCAAAGTTGACTTTATGCAGATATTCTATAGGTTAGGAATAAAAGACTAAGGTTACACTTTATAATACATGTCTTTAGTAGTTAAACTAAAGTAGTTATGTACCTACAGTACGTAAAATGAAAAAAAAAAAACTTTTTACAAAACGGCAACCCTTTATTTTCCTGTGTCCTTGTTACTGTACATTACATGCACTTATTGTAGTGATAACAGTAAATTCTGCATAATTACAAGCAACTAATCCTAACCCTTAATACTATTCTGTACATATTTGTTCAATTATATTGCAACAAAAACACCTTAAAATGAAGTGCAACCCAAAACCCTTTTGCTGTTATGGAGTTGGGATACGGGTTTGTGGTATGGTTAGGTTTAAGCGTGAGTTAAGGGGTAGGGTCAACAGAGTAAATATAGACATAACTACATAAATTAATTACAACATTGTATTTGCATGCTGCTTTTAAAAATATATATATTTGTACAATGTACAATGTATATACACAGTAAGTGCACTGCATCAAATAATTCAATTAAATGTCAGTACATAGCAGATAAAGACCCTTCATATACAGTGGGTCCCAGCATAGTTGGATATGTCAATGTGTGTGCATGTTTGTTACCATCAGGCGGGTTGGAAAAGGGGTTGTATATGATGGTGTCCAGTGTGCAGGGTCCTCTGGATGAGGGTACAGCAGGGAATCCTGGGATCAGACAGGCGAAGATGAGAAGCTGCTCTTCGGCACAGTTCCTCTGCAGAGCCTGCAGCCAGAGCAGGAACAGACGCATGCCCTCACAGCGGATCTGCACACACAAACACAACACCACCTCCTGCATTCACACTGATCCACAACAGATGTGTATGTCCTCATTTTAAGCTCTTCTGATTCATTAATCGACTCACCTTGAACGAGTTTCCAGTGTGCAAAAGTTTTTTGAGAATAGAACCTATAAAAGAAAAGTGTTTAAAATGACACACAATCAGTAACTAATTTAATCGTTACACTGCTTTGTGATGCACAAAACTAAATGTAATTAAAAAGGTTACTATGATGAAGCGATCTGAAGGCTGACACCTGCTGCTGAGAGAGGACTTACATCACAGTATGAGCTCGTTTTCACTGCATAGTTATTTTTGCTGGGAATTCAACCCAAAATGTTTTATATATTGCACAACTCATTAATGTAAACTTTACTTAAAAAAAAAAAAACTGCACCAGTGTCTACTAATATTTGCTATGGTGTCCCATGTACCTGTATAGAGTGCAAGAGTCTGTTTCCATATGTAAAAATCCATACAAAATTTATTTTTAATAATAACCTATAAAACTTTAAAGACAGACCTACTGTGAGCTGCAAGGTTGCTTTTTTTGCATTTTGCTTTTTTTTTAATAATCACAAAATACATAATACAGTCAGTCTTCAAAAATTCTCAAACTAATATTTATATAAAAATGCATATTTTGCAATAAATGATTGTCTCTTTAGACATACTTAACATCAATAGTTTTTGTATTTATGCTTCATTTTCAATTATATTGTTGTTTGCAACACACCACGTGATTATACTGTAGTTTCTTCCCCACACTAAATCTCGTACCTTTGCTGTTTTGTTTGATTTTTAGGCTACGTCCACACGAAGCCAGAGCTTTCCCTATCTGATCTTTTTTTCCCTTGTCTCAAGAAATATCTGCGTCTACACGAAACCGACACAAAACGATGTAGTATACATGCCAGACCAGTATGTGGCGCTGTAATTATGCCACAGAGATACACTAAAAATGGAGAAGAAGACTTGGACTATGCGCATAAACCTTGCGAACAAACGAAACAAACAAACATGGAGCAATACATTTATTAATCTGGGTTAATGTTAGTTAATAAGAAGACAATTGTTCAGTGTTTGTTCATGTTTTTGTTACTGTTACGTGACGTAGCGGTGTCTGACTAGGGGCGAGACGTGGGCTGATTATTATAACGATTTTTTCGTTTCAGAAAATATACGGATTCGCTGTCCACACGAAAACGCAAGGGTGGCGTTTTCAGATTTATTCACTCTGGGACCCGGTTTTTAAAAAATATCGGTTTCACTCTCCCAAAACGCCGGATCCGTCTGGACGAAACGCCTAAACGATACAAAATGTATGCGTATACAGCTAAAACTCTGCTCTGTGTGGACGGGCCTTAAAATACTTGCTTCAAATGAAAGTTTGTTATGTTGTGATTCACCTCGTAGCCAGTTGGTTTGGTTCACTGCTTATAACTCTTTAACTGTGACTTTTTAAAAATCCGAATGGGTATAACAGTCCCAGAATCAATGCTGCTGAAAAAGTGGTGGAAAAACCCTTGGACAGCATTTTGTCTATTGTAGTTTACTTCAACCAGGAAATGCAAAAAAGGATCCAAAAAAAAAAAAAGATCCATCTGTTGAATTTTATATTGATATGTCAGTTGTGGCATTGCTTGGCAATCGTAAGCAACAGTCACACAGTATCTACAGTACACTGGAGGATCAGACTCACCTTATAATCAACTGAGGAGCTACTTCAACACGGATAGGAAGTGGACTGAATCTCTTAAAAAGCCAAGCTATGTTTTGATACTTTAGCTGACAGAGAGAGGATTGTGATTTTTTTGCCCAGCAAAGACATATAGCTGAAAACAATAACAATAAGCTTCGATACTGTTGCATCAATTTTTGCTTGAATTTCCCCTAGGCATCTGTCTGTCTGTCTGTCTGTCTGCCCATCTCTATGCGCAGGGCTCTAATTGAGGTTATTGCCTCCTTTGAGGGTCTTCCTGTACGGAAGACTGAAACCACGAGACGCATAATTTCATTTAGCAATTTGCATTTCAAATGAAGCCTTTCATTTGCATTTCCCATTTATTAACCTCCTGCTCTCACTTTCTCTGTAGCTAATTATTTTCTCTGAGAAAGTATTAAACCAGGTTACACTGACTCTCTCCTGAACCTGCTTTAACAGCAAAACGCATACAGACTGACTCTATAATCATGCACAAAGAAATACTGATACTGTAAGCAATATTTCAATTTCAACAGCTAAACTGTGTGGCATGAACCATGTGAGTGTAAAATGAGGTCTGAACAGCACTTACCTATACTGTGAAACTGCCATCGACTGTTGATTTTCTCAGGTAGAAGTTGCAGAATTTTCTGAAAGGAAAAATAAGGACACTCCGTGATCACATTCAACTAATAGCATAAAATTCAAGAGCTCAATGTCATTTTTCACTTCATAGTTTACACCCAATGATAGTAAAGTGCTTTTATTCATCATTCAGGTTATGCCACCCGCAAGGGGTGTGCGATATGTATCGTCTACAATATTGCAATTGTTGTTTAAACAATGTGGAAGCTGACATTATCAAGTACGTTGCTCACTTTGCAAAAAAACAAAGACAAATCTTGAGATTGAACACTTTCACTTCTTTATGTGGCCTAATAGAATGCAGTTAGAATGACAAAATTCAATATATGGGGCCAAAAAGCCTAGGCCTATATGGGCTTTTGTCTTATACTTATATCTTAAGATATGGTTAAGTAACAACAAGTGTGCCATTTTCCTAAATATTTATGCAAATGTTATACCAATTTTTTTTACAATAGTTAAATAAACAAAGTTAATATTGACGAATTCTTAATTCATGGCCATGAAATCTTTCATTTCCCTTCCGCATGTTTACCACGGTAAGAGATGCGAAAACAGTGAGAAAAAGTGAATGGCAATAAAATAAACCTGCGAAATTAGAGGGTTAGACGGTGAGGATTTAGGAAAAGAAACAATGCCTAAATATTATTGAATTTGTGGAAATTCGTAACCAAGAACAAAGCTGCATAAATGTAGGCTATATGGGCTCGAATGGCATCCAAAAGCATGGTCACGATGTAAGATTTTCCAGCTAACCAAATATTCCTCTAATAAACAAAGCTTTTATACCACGCTTGTCATAATCAGAGCTTATAATTTGTAAATAAATAATTGCTGGATACAAAACAGCAATTAAATGGCGCTGTGACCGACACTTGACAATACGTTTTCCCGGAGCATTCAATGTCACTAAACGGTGATGCCACAACTAAGAGCATCTTTCACAAGTTTCTGCAGGACCTAACTAGCCTAGGCACAGGTTTTCAAGCCCTGGGACAAAATGGGATGCTTTAAGGAAAATGTACAGCCTATGTAAGCAATAGGCCTAAAATAAAAATAACAATTTGTTTAAATATCTGACTTAAATAATTAAGCTAACAGATTTAAAACAGAAGTGTGGCGCGGCGCTCCATAAACAAGTTCACGGAAAGGAAAGGATGACAACGCGCATTCTGTTTGTTTGCTTTATTTTACAAAAGCACAAATCTTGTTTTTATTGTGAGTGTGCAAAAAAAAACACTTTTGCGGATTATATCTTACTCCAAAAATTGAGTTTTTTATATTTCAGCTGTTCAATCGCACCGGCGCCTCGCGCGCGCGCACACACCCCACATATTCTAGCAATTCAAACTTACATCGCAGTCTGTTCATTATCAAAATAAAATACAGTCAACCAAACATATAAAAGGTTACACTGGTCAGTTTAAATAGACCGTAGTATACCGGTCCACTCTGCTGTTAAGGACGTTTCTGCTCATGTGAAGATGATTATCTTTTCCGTCTATATGCGAATGCGTGTAAAGTACAAGCCTAGTTTACATTATAAATAATAGTTTAACATTCAAATACATTGCGAATATGGAAACATTTGGATTTGTGCCGAATGAGACGTTTGTGCCGAATGAGACGTGAGTAATAACCTCCAAATACATCTAGCCAACCCCGCGCTCGCTTCGTCTTGTACACGCACGCATGCACTGTCACGATCTAATGCACTGTAAATGCCGGATTTTTAAAAACAAATAGGCCTACCGCAATGCAAAAATTCAAAATCTGACATTTTCTGGAACAGGATCCAGCAGGATCAAATGAAGTACTGGTCATAATACTCGCATGATAATGTTTGATGTGAGCAACAGTGTGTTTTGCTGCAGCAGCGCCGATGGAAGAGGTTCACTGACTGCAGCACAGCCACACGCGCCACAGTTACGTTTGGGATCGTTTTATTTTAAATGCCATAATGTCAGTTGAAAACAATATATTAAAATACAATAACGAGCACCATGAAACCATTTAAAGAGGCGCGTCCAGCGGTCTCCGTGTCGGGATAGGAAACAGTCAACAAAATAAAATGATCTCAAACATACGGCGCACTCTCTTCATTTTATCAAATTATCATAATCATATCTATTCATTTTACAATCCTGCTACTAGCATTTTATTCAGACTAAAACCCCTTTAATTTGGGTGGCTTTTGCACATCCTGTCACACAGGTGACTGCGTGCTGCTGCAATAGACGCATTTTGCTGCGTTAAAGTTAACGATTAATCAATGTTTGCAGTGTTTTATCTCTGAATTAATGAATGAATGAGTTTTTGAACAAACTGGATGAATGGATTACTCAGTGACTCAATGATTAAGACCTGCCACCACCTACTGCTGGTTTTAATTTAATATTGAATGTATTGTTAATGTATTATCGTTAAAACATTCATCTCATAGTATTATTTATGCAGTTGTAGTGTAAATGCATCTAAATGCTGGTTTACAGTATGTGCAGCATCTGTAGCACATCTGCAGTGCAACATATTTTGTTGATACTTATTCATTTGATTGGGAACAGCCCACAGTATCTCATATATAGATGTTATTGATTTAATGCAAACATTTGGTTTAAAAGATGATGCATAAATTTAATACGGTTAGAAAATAAAAAGTCCTTATGAAGGAAAAATGTCCTTGGAAATCAATTTAAGGTAGCAAATTTCACAGCTTAAAGAAAAAGTTAACTTATGCCACTGCTGTGAACTGGCAAACGCACCGAATATAAAGAATGTGAAAATCAGCTGTTCACGACAGGCTATAAACCAGCCAAGATACCAGCACAAAAAGACACTCTGCAAAATAATTATTATTACCAACAAAAACAGAGAAAATACTGTTTTTTGACAATACCGCAACACCCACATTTTTTGGGAATCTGGGAAGATAAAGGTTCCACCTACATGCTATTTAATTGAAACGGTCAGCAGAGAAAGATCAACACGCTCCAGCTGTTGAGCCAACTGTGACCTTACTACCACAAGACCCTTTTGACACCATATCATTAGCGTCTATTCACAGACAGTTAGATGTGTCCCTGGTGAGTGATACATACAGATACAAGTGGGTTAAGATTCACTCTAATGGACAACGGTAATGTCATCAGTGGCAGTGCATTATGAGTAATGCCATTATAAGACACTCAACCAAAGAACAGCAACATGGGATCAAGTCTGTCACCGCAAACACACGTCCACAACTCAAAGAGTGGCATCCATGACACTCTACAAGAAGAGGACACCATAATGTCACCATAATCTCACGTGCTACGCGACAGCTGTCACTCATCGTGTCATTCTCATTTACTTCCTGTGTTGATGTGGAACGTGATGACACATGAGTATGAGAGCATTCAAGCACCTCCGTATTGATCTTCAGCGTGTGGAAGGACAGCTCTGGATTACAGCCTGTCATTGTCGTGAGGAAACTGACAAATAACTGGAGCTGATATCCAGTGGCGGGATCTGTTTAAGCCTGCACGCTCGGGGATCGCAGAAGAAGGCTGAGGTTTCGGTAATGCTTCTTGCAGCGGTAACGGAAAGCGCTCCCCTGCCGCGCTGCAGCGGTGTCTGGGACAGCGGATTTGAGAAGGGTGGCGTGGAGTTTTCGAGCCGCTGCCAGTTGCCAGAGTCTGTGCTAATCTGCCGCAGCTCTCCAAGCATAAGAATGAAGCATTACCGCAGGCTTTTCTGCATCGCCGTTATCCACACTCGCCGTGCTTACCACATGGTGAGCATGACTGAGAATACACCAGCCGTGGAGTGATGGGCCTGAAACCCCAGGAATTTACAGCTCCCACATGCCACGCAACTTCTGAAGAAGAAACATCCGGACACTGCAACTCCTGAGAAGTACACCAAAAAGTGACACCACCATCCTGTCTGCAGTTCCAATACCACCAAGAACAGACTCAATGAAGTGCTGTTGGAGATGATGTACAGTGGTGGCCAAAATTATTAGAAAACTAGTATTTTTGATCCCACCCACCCGACACACAGCTTCTTTAGTCTGCTGCCATCAAGAGCCCAACTGATATGGGTTTTTTGGGGGCCGATAACGATACTGATATTAGGGAGTAAAAAATTTTTTATTAGGGAGTCGATATCGATATATCTGCCGATATTCTTTGTGTATATTATAGTACAGTACCAGTCAAAAGTTTGGACACTTTCCCATTCGTGTGTATATACTTTTGACTGGTACTATATATAGAATACAGTATATACATAAACAGAATATATATACATAAACACATTTTTTCCAATGATCACTCAAATGTGGTGATCAAACTTCAACTTTATTTCAATTCAATTCCATTCAACTTTATTCCATTGAAGTTTATTTCACTTCGGAACATTCATTCACAGATTTGTGCTACTGTCTTCACACACAGACGAAACTTACTAGAGAATTGTGAAGTGTGACACGATATACCTCTGTAAATAAATACAATTTAAATTCACATCTCGCTCACTTTAATGGCCTTTGAATGTAATGTGTACGTTCCCTTCGAACTGGAATCATGGCGGAATATCATGTGAAGTCCACTTCGCAGGGCACTTACAGTCGAATAAGACAACGCTTGAATGCTGCTGCCAGAACAAGAGACCTCCTTACTGAAGTGAAAGTGTTAGCTGGTGTCACTATATCGCGAACGCGGCAGCGGATCTGCACCAAATTCTGGGGATACCTTCAGCTCGAGGAGCCCTCTCGAACGCCACCCTCCGTGAGTCTGTAGCCCTCCAGGATCGCCAGATCGGTCAGCATCCGACTGCGAATTTAATCGCCCGTAACTCCCGGACCCCGGGGGCTATTGATGGCGGGGGTGGTCTCATTCGAAAGGGGGCCTAGAGACATACACTCGATTTGGTTCCTCGAGCTGAAGGGATTCCCCTGAATTTGGTGCAGATCCGCCACGCCTTTACGGAGATATGGCCGTTCAAAGTTTCAATGGTATTCCAT